GAGAGAGAGAGAGAGCGTAACATCGTGAAAGTAGAAACCTTCGTTACGCGCGTTTCAGTTCGCCGCGTAATGCCGCGGCGTAGTTTCGGCAGCGGAGCTCCTGCCGCCGAAACGAAATGGCCCGGTGTTTATTCATGCAAAGCCAACATACTCTGAAACAACTCGCCACATCTCTGTGCTACGTAAATGAGGTACTCGGGATACATCCGGGTGCGCCGTTGTTTGCTATCTTACGAGCGTCTGCGGATGCTTATAAAATGGAGATAATTAACGCAGCGTCTAGAGATAACGGGCGCACCAATTTGCAGTTATCTCGGTCTTTTGTCTTAGGCGTTGCGCCGCGTCTTTCCAGACACCAAAAACGCATTGAGATAACGATACGCGATACGGGGGGGGGGAGGGGGGAGTCGGACGCAACTTCTCACATAATTTTGCAAAACGCCATTTCTAAAAACGTCCCTCATTACAAATTCCTGCGGTGCGATACCGCTTGAATTATAACCGTGGAAACTCTTTTGTCAAAAATGATTAAAACATCCACTAGTCATTTTTTTTTTTTTTGTCAATTTAAGTATATTCCATAATAGCGATGAAATTTGCGAAATATAATATTCACGTGACTATTGTTGGGCTGCATTGTATTCGGTCTCATTTATTTTGAATTATATTTTTACGAATCTAATCCAATCTACGTATTTCAATAAAAAATAATACTGGTTTGGCGGGGAACATTACGCTGATAGTCTTGTTGGAAAATGCAAACATTGTACGCCATGAAATGACTCGCCATTTTATATTATTATGCGAATAAATCGAAATTACTTATTTGAAGTGAATGGAATTATGACTGCGTGTTCGATCGATGTAATTAGCTGCGATCAATATTTGATGAATCTAAGGTACATGCTTCGAGCTGACAACTAAATACCACACTTGGAATTTTCGATGCTGCGATGCGACAAAAAAATAGATGCGAAAGAAAGCAGGGTGATATATTGAGTGGTATATTTAATAGGTCACAATTGATTCATTATAGTTTACATTTAATTAAATGCGCTGAACAAATAGTATTACGAGATAATATAGAATACACGGGAAAGAAACGATGTCACTTAAAAATCAACAGCGTCGAGTTTATTTAAAAATAACCTTGTGTTAATTTAATTAAATGCATTACTGAAACGTATTTATCGATACTGATGTCATATTATTTTTTTTTTATTATTATATAATTTCTAAAAGAGATGAAAGGGATAAAAATAATATGCAAACCGATCCCCACATTTCAAATGTCACGTAAATTTATTTTCAAAAAAATTGAAGCTCGAATAAATTATAACAGAGGAGAATTATAATCATATTTGATTCATATTTGATTGAACGTTTAAGAGAATAATCCGTGACATTTTAAGGGAAATCGTATATTTGCAGTGTACATTTAGTATCACGTTTTTGCCCTTTGCGGAAACTCGCCAAGTATGATTTTCGCTTACCTATTGCCAATCGTCGAGGATCGTCCTACTTCGACATCGTCGTCGGGAGCGCGTCAGAAATGAGACGCCCGCTACTTCCGCCTGTCTCTAATTATCAAAACGACTGTTAACTCCTCACGCAACTGCACTATCCGTCACTATTTCGGGAGTACCGCTGTTGAGACCTGTTCACAATCACTAACCGAGCCAGCCGCACCGCGACCGGAGAAGAAGCTCGTTCATGACGACAGAGAGAACGCCAGGACTCGACACAAGCTCGCGACACGTCGCACGGAAATTGTCACACGGATATTAAGAGAACACAGATATATGAACCAGGGAGACCAGTCACGATCTCCCCCGTGTCGCTCTTTCACCCGGCCGTCGGCGCCGCTGCCGCTCTCGTTCCTGACGCAGCTAATTAATCTCGAATACGCGAGACGCGCGCGCAATAATAATGAGAAATCCCGCGGGCGAGAGTTTTAATTAAAACCCGGGCACCCGAGCCCGCGTCGCTCGCATCGCGTACTTGACCTTCCTCGCGGCAGGCTTAATTGAATCCCCCGTCGATGGCGAGCCGCGTATGGTTACACATACGTGCGTGCTGGATTAAGCGTGCTCGCATGTTCGCCGTCCTCGCGGATGTACATGCTGCACGTATAGATCCACCCCCGATTGATGAAACGATCCGCCGAGGATCGCGTTTATATATCGCGGTGGATCGCGGTGGATCGCGGTGGATCGCGGGGCACCAGCTGATCCACCGAAGCCCTCTGTCAGCCGGTTCGACCACCGGCGAGCCGCTGTCACTGAATCCGGCGGCGGTGCAATCCCGCGCCGCCCCCCGCGCGCGATTACCGTGTCACCCCGTCGTTACTCCGTGTCCTCTGCTACCGGGCCTCCCTCGTTAGTCCGCTACTACTTGTCGCGTGCAACTCTCCCCACACTACTGCGCGTCTGCAACACGATCCCGTTTACTCCTCCTGGTATACCGTCCGTACACTCCTTCCTGACAACTCTCCTGTAACGCTCGTCGATATCCCTCGTCCGTCGATATCTCTCTCCGCGACACTTGACCCGGCGACCGAGTCGGGGGGGGGGGGGAGGGGGGGTCGAATATCGCCCCTCGAGTCCGTCACTATTCACCCTCGGCAGCCGCCAGCGTTCCGGCGGCTGACACTCGCGCGAACTTGGCGCGAACACTCGAGCGTACGAGTGGGAGCACGTCGCGTTTAATTGCGCGCGCGTTACCAATTATCATCGATATGCGGTAATTAGCCGAGACGAGCGCGGACGCGACTCACTCATAGTCTCGCGCGACCAGTCCCGCCGTTCACTGGAGTCGCGCGCGAGAGGGCTGACCGCACGCAGGGGTGCGCGCGAGCGCGCGCGCGCGGGCGTGCGTGCGTACGCGCCGGACGTGTCCTTTGTATACGTGTATGCGTGTATATGTGTATGTGTGTATGTGTGTGCGCGCGCGCCTGTGGGGATCCAGGTCCGACCCTGGCGCGATGCGATAGAGAACTGACGTCCTGACGGGCTGCAGCGCCCCGACGACGGGCGTCCGGCGAACCATCCGCCGTGAAGCGAGCGGCGGGAGATCCGCCACCCCCATTCCAACCTCCTCCCTCTCTCGTACTCTCGACATCCTCCCCCGATCCGGAACGGCGGCACGGTGCTCCGCTTTTGCCCGTGCCACCTTGTCGTCGAGAGGGCACCGTCGTACGCGCCGTCACGCGAAATTGCACGAAATTTTTGAAAAAGCCACTCGTGCTATCGAAAACGAATTTTTCGAAATCACGCTAGCTTTTGCTAGCGGGGAAGAATTCGCTAGAGATGCGGGATACGCGTCTGCTGAAAAAAACGTTACCCGTTAATCAAATGTTTGGATGTTGTTAGATTAACTATCGTTACCGGGGCTTTTTACATACCATCCCTTGACACCAAATTGTTCTTTCTCTCTTAATTACGCTCTATAAATGATACTAAATTTTAGAAATTATTTTAAACAAATAAAATAAATCAATATTATCTAAATTCAATTCTACGCTAAAGGACTTTCCTGTCACGTAAAAACATTTGAGAAAATGACAAACAGAAATGGAGGCAAAATATATACGTACGCGGAGTACTCGAAATATCGTCGTAATTAAATTAAAAAAGTAACCCGGTACGACTCCTGCAGGCGATCGATTCACGCTTCAATTACTCGGGTAGAAACGGAACGTATACGGAATTATCTGAATATCTTTAATTATTTCTGTTAGTTTAGACATCACTCAAGATACTTCGTCTATATTTAAAACAATTTCTTTATAATAAATTGGATAAAAAATTTGGGACAACCTAAAAATTAGCGGAGCTCTGTATCAGAAATTGTGCACTTTATATATTATAATTCCTTCCATATTAATTTGTATATAATATGTATATTATATGACGTGTCTCGAAAGTGGCGAATAGGCAATCTGAAGGCACGAGAGGAATAGGGAAATTCACGTAATTTCTTAATCAATATGGCCTAAATCATTCTTATGACAGAATAAGGCTCGCGTTTTCTGAGCTGCGTGTTTTCCAAGACTTGCATGCATTTGCAAACATCACGTGATTCGCGGAGACGGCCTTACATCACTCCGAATTGGATACCGAACCTAAAATCCTGGCTTTCAATCCGTGCGAGAATCGCTCTACAGCTCGATTATTGCGAAACGTGTTTTATCGTAGATGTGCTTAGAAAGAACGTATCAAAATACACCGCTCCGTCATCAAAGAAGCGTTATTGACGAAAAATTGCTTGAATTCCATTATTCCGTAACGCCGTTGCCTATCCTCCGAGCCCGTATATAAATGATAACGATATCGTTTATACACCGTAATACGAAATACCTCGATTACCTAGAGCCTAATTCAGACGAAACAACAATTTTAAAATCTTACAAAAATCTTTCTTACGAAATCTTAAAGGAGATTATCTTGTAAAAAAGATTTTCACATGCATTATGCATGTACATAATTTTTAACACAGTTTTAATTTTACGTCGCCGAATGCGCACAAACGAAAACGACTCGGGCATTTGCCAGTCGCTTTGCAGTCTTTACTCTCTAAGCTGTATTATTAATTAAAGGAATTAACTTCGCCATATACGATGCGACCCTCGCTCGAGGAAAGGAAGGTCGAACGCTTATATCATAGTCTAATTTCCAATTAAGGCGTTATTAATACCGGCGCCAGTGGGCGTTACACCTCATGGATTATATTACGATTTACATGTATTTCGCATTTTACATGTAAGAGATCTGTTATCACGTTTAAGTTTATTTTAATTGCGCTACATAATTAACGCAGATAAAAATTATAAAAAATGATATGCAGCACAAGCTAAAATCTAAATTAAAAAAAAAAAGTCTATTTCAACACTTATGAATCAATAGTTGAAATTATGACAACTCGTTGTACGAATTATGTTGTATGAAAAAAATAAAAGTTTTTCTTTGATCAATTTAAAATAACGATTTTAATTTAAAGGTTGATTATAAAAGTAATTAAAACAATATTTTAAAAAATTAAAAGTACGCTTTTTAATTTACTTTTCGCGAAAAGAAAGTTAATTTCAAATTTATAAATATTTTTTTTATATATTATTGAAGAGTATTACGACCTTTTACTTCCTGTATCGACCATTTTAACAACTTGAATAATTGAGGTATATTATTCGATAAGTATTGTATCAGTAAATTTCAATGTATTAAATTCAATATATACCATGATCTGGATATCGATTCAGATGTTTCATTAAATGTTATACATTCAATGTTCGTAATATACAATTGCATATAAAAGGTGTAATTGCGTGAAAAAATAATAACATACGCACAACAAATGGAGAACAACAAATCTCAATTAAAATTCGATGTACATTTTTTTTACATGAGAACTGTTGGAAGCATATAACAATTATGTTACTTAAAACGGCACATGTTTTATTATATATATATATATTTTTTTTTCAATATAAACAATATATTTTTCTCATTTTTAAATGAAAAAGTAATAATTTCTCTAAGAACATCGTAAGCTTAAATAATACTTCATATTGAAAATTGGTGAGAAAATACTCGGTGATTAGCAAAATTGGGTCAAAAAAAAAAAATTATAACGATCGCTGAAATAAAGCGAAACACGTCCTGATTGGATTGTCCATGAAGGTGGCGATTCAATCCCTTTAAAATTGGGGTTAAGGATACCGAGACATTGTAAATTTCCGTATATTACTTTCAACGATTTACGTCACGGATGAGATACACGGGCACGGATGTTTCGCGCCGCAACCTTCGGGATGGTAGAAAGGTGCGAGGGACAGAGGTAGGTAGGTAGGTAGGTAGGTAGGTGGGTCGTTTCACACAGCAGCGCCTCGCTTAATTACTAGTTACTAGTAACAGGAGTTAGAAGCGTTTAGCTCACAGTTCACGCCATCCAACAAAAGCTTATAACGTTACGAACTATTCCCATTGCTACCCTAGATTCAACAACGAGGCTTCACCCGGTGCCCGGATGGATTCGTATTACTTCGGAATCATATCAAATACGGAAACGAGTCCGCGAGTTCGCGAACTGCAGTTGGCTCGGTTTACAATATAATTAATCTCGTGACTGGCCGATATGAGTTTAGCAAGCTAAATATAATATCGGTGTCTGTAGCGTATTATCCCCGTAAATCGTGAGGAAAGCTCATATTTTATGACAAATGCAAAACGCGACATTAACGAAGTCTCGGATTCCGGCGGATTCCAATTATATCCGTTATCTCTCCCGTTGAATTTCGTGTAAAAATTAAGATGACACGACGGGTGAATTCAATTGAGAGAGAAAAAAAATGACGGTGAATTTTCAAATGTCATTTATTTCTCCAAACAGTACGATTGGCTAATACGGTTTATTTATTGCATACCGCTGCATAACTTTACTCCGCTAGTGCGGTCATTTTCAGGCTGTAACTATAAATCTCACATTTCTTGAATCACCGACGGAAAATTCATGGACAATAAATCGGAGTTTCGATAACGTGATTCAACGATACCGAAAACAAACGCCCAGGCGCAAATCACAGTTACGTTGTTAAAAATCCTTCGTTCGTAGTATTTGCGAGATCGATTTACCAAACACCGTAGAAACTTTGCAGCTTTGACATTTGCCCAACGAATGAAACTCTAATCAAACTTTCCATCCGATACACTGTAGCCCAGACACGCTATTCATAACCGTTTTGTTCGATTCAAATCGTCTGGATTAAATGCAAGACTGACTACATACACGATTATCCCCAAAGAGTGGTATACAAACATTAACCAATTTAAAAATCATTCGAAAGGATTGCACTCAGTTGTTATATAATTTTATTCTCCGAAAACATGTTTTACATTGTTTCTAAAGAAATTCCATATATATAAATATATAAATAAAGAAAAACGTAATATTAAGACCATCCAACATTTTGTATATAGCTTTGTATATAGCAATAACTTTGTTAATAATCACTATCTTAAATTGAAAGCTTAACGATTATATTTATCAAAGTATTATTGAATAGATTCAAAGTTATGAAATATTTATTTATATAATATTTATATAATATTTATATAACATTGAATGTTATATAAAAGCATAATAAATCGAAAAGGAAAGGAATGGTAATATAAGCCTACCCCTACAAAAATAAATTTAAAAAATTGATTTTGTTTAAAAAAGATACATTATTTTGTTATAAAAATATATTTTAAAATAAACTTTAAAATAAACTTTAAAATAAACTGTTAGGAAAAGAAAAAAATTACAATATAATCACGAAAATTTTAAATAGATAGAGGTAGATGCTGACTTATTATTTCAACATAATCTCTTCCTGCCGTAAGTAAAATTTATACTAAAATCTATAGATTGAATTATAGATTAGCAATAGATTTATCGAAGAATTATTTCATTATGAAAACCTCGAAAACAATCATATTACCAGCACGCTTAGAAACATCATTAAAATGTTATGCTATTGTTTAATTTTGCACAATACGAAATGTGCCAAATAAAATGTTAAATAACAAAAAAAAATA